GGTTTTTAAACCATTGGTTTACAATATACAATTTATTTAACATGATGTCTACTTTGTACGTGATTCCAAAAAAAATCGGATTGAGATTCTATAAAGGTAAAAGGGAGATTTCATGTTGATCAAATCACGGTTTCAAGCACTTATGTAGTATTTAATGCCATGGAATCTGGATTTTTTAAAAAATTGAATCGAGATTCAATAAATGTGAACTCAAGATTTCAAACTTTACAGAAACGAGTTCCATGAAGATTCTTCCATGGAATCACCGAATCAGGACTCAAAGCAGAGTTGCTACCTGTGGTGAGATTCCAGCAACTATGGCCAGCAATGTTAAGGAATTTTTTGCTCTTTTGTTTTTTCCTCTTCCTGCACACAAAACAAAACATTGTTCTAACTTTTAGTTAATAGTTATTTGAACACATTAGATCTTGCTTTATTTGAACTCATGCATTTTATAGGGGTAATTTAGTGGTAGGATCTGAGCTTGGTGTGAATTGATGGAGTGTCAATAACTTAAAGCAATCAAGCCCCTGCCATATTTGAAGTCCTGCATTGTTTGCAGTAGAATTTATCCTTCTTTCTCATATCATATTATGCTGCTTATCAGTTTTCTACATTGTAGCTTGCCTTTGGCTGCCACAGGGGCCATGGATCAGAAGCTGGTTATTTGGGATTTGCGTTACTCATCACCACGCTGCACTTGTGACCATGAGGCATTTTGCATTACTTTTTGCATGCATCTCTTTATCACTTTATCCCTAGTTTATGCCTAAAATTAGAATAATTTTCTTTCAGGAGGGTGTGACATGCTTGTTCTGGTTAGGTTCAACTAAGTACAAAGCAACTGGCTGTGTAGGTGGAAAAGTACGCGTATGGGATAGTCTAATCTGGTAATTGTGTTCGGACAATTAGTGGGCATTCTGATTTCATCCAGGCTTTGACCATCTCTAATAATGCGCCGAACCTCGTTTCAGTTTCACTTGATAGTACTGCACGTGTTTTTGACATTTCATAATTCTGCCCGTAAAGCATTATTCACACTTCAATAATAAATTTTGATTAAAAGAAAAATGAATGAACAACTATGCAAATGTAGTTAGTCTATAGTTAATATGATGATAATATGGTAACATAATGTCCATGGTGTTGAATTTGATGGTATATGGTTTTTTGTTTTGTTTGCGTTCTGTTGAAATTGGCTTGAATTTCATGGTATATGGTTTTTTGTTTTGTCTGCATTCTGTTGAAATTGGCTTGAAATCATGCTTTGATTCGGCCAGGAATGAGAAGAGCTTCAGATGATTTAAGGGAGTGTTTGGTTATTTTTTAAAGTATAAATAAAATTTGTGAAATATGTTCGGCCTACTTCAGTTACGACACTGTGCTTCAGCTTTGAGGCCAAACTTGATACTTCCCCTAAAGTGCAGCAACGAGTCCACAGTTGTTCCAAATAGCCATTCCCTCATAAGCTTGCGATTCATTAGTTGATTTCTTCAGTGAAAGAAGTTCTTTTTTTTTGACAATGAAAACTTCTTTCATTGAAAGAAGTTTTTTAAATAGCTTCTTGAACAGCAATAGAATTGGTGATCTAGAGTGCATTTCATTTGGGTCGTGGTTCATTTGCTTCTTCTTTTTGTTTTGTTTCATTCTTTGCATGTGTATTTGTCTTGTGTTTCTTTGTGATGGATTTCTCGGGTCACCAGTCTGGTTCCTGCTGGCGATAATTAGGAGAACAAGCACGTTATTACATTTAAACTGAGTTGATGGGACCACCCCTTGATTAACAGTAACCATTTACTTCACATTAAACTGAAAACAACACGAGGAGAAATAGAATGATACAAGAGATTAAGAGAATGTGGTGACGACCAACAACCTTTCGCAAGCAAATCCGTCTCAAAATTGGCTTCTCTAAAATAATGGCGAAGATCACAGCCGAGAGACTAGATGAAGCACTCCAATCTCATCTAGAATGGGAACCAAATCACAAGGGTGATCTCCAAATGATAACGTTAATCGAATCTCCCTCTCTCTTCATATGTCCCTCTGACATAGAAATGAGCTTTAGACCCTCTAATAGCCCTCTTGCTTCTGCTCATTAGCAGTAGTGAAACCACAAGGACCCGAAAAAGAGATAATTGGGTTGTCTTTATGATCTCTAACGGGTTTATATCCAGTTGGTCCAAGATTTTTAAGAGAACTACCAACAAAATTGAGCTTAATACACTTCACTATTATAAAGAGGGCGGTCAAGGGAGGAAGCAAGGCTTGAGGGTGAGCTTAATGCAATTCACTTATTATAAAGAGGGGATCTTGAGGGTCTGTGTCAGGCCACTCTAACAAAAAGGGGTCTATGGGAGGAAAGAAGGCCGAGGGTTTGCATCGGCCCAATAAAAGGAGAGGGATGGGCTAGAGTGTCCAGTCTTTGGATTAAACAAACATTCAAATGACATAGTCATAAATGTGTAAAATGTGGGAGTCGACTGATCCGGAATGGCCTGAACAGTTCCTGATCCATATCAGTCACTGTCAATTACTAGTTTTTAAAACCTAGTTGAGAGTTCAGTGCCCTGATTGACCGTTCACCTGGTGGACCAAATCTAATAGTAAAAAATGGACTAGAGTTGTGAGGGGCAGAACTTCACACTGTAAGACCATTTATGTTGGGGAAAACTTTATGTACTTCCTTGCCATATATATTTTTCTTTATGTCTTGCCTCTTCCAACAGTCTGATCTGATCTGAATGGACGGCTGAGATGGCTCCAATCACAATGTTACACCAACACACCGTTTTATTTTTAATTTTCTTTCTACAAAATATTTTGACCAATTTGGAGCATCCATTCCTCTCTTAAATTCGAACATAAAAAAATATAAAAAACAAATCCTAAAAAATAGAATAACCGATACTTCTAAAAGTTTCAGGGATATTTTGGTTATTTTATTTTTTAAAAAGATAATTTAAATAGTTTTTAGGTGCATTTTAATTTTTAGGGATATTTTGGTTATTTTATCTTTTTCAAATATTGTTTTTAGTTGCACGCCATTGAGATGATAACACGTACCAAATTTTTTATTCATATGATTTGTAGAAAATATTTAAGAATAAAGTATTTTGAGACGTCAGATCTAGATTGACTGCATTGTAGATCACTTGTGACATTTTCAGATGAGTAAACTCAACCATAAATTGGATGGCTTGACAAGAGGGGGGGAACATACAATATGTTTATGGAGTGGATGGTTTGACAAGAGGGGGGAATATATAAGATGTTTATTGCGGGGAAGTATAGAAAGTTTTTTCATGCATGGAGGCTATAATTACTCATACCTGTCAGATGTGAAATCCAACGTCGTGGAGTGCATCTCATATATTTTGGAAAGTTTTTCTTTGAAGCTTGAAGTTTAAGCTTGAACAATAGGAGACCACCGGATTTCATATTCATCTACATGGTTGATGGTGGCCTCCTTCTAACAAGTTACTAATTTTTCATATACATTCCCTTGAGTACATAATTTGTTTCATTTTATTTGTTGAAACACCGCTGGTCAAGTTAGACTCGCCTAATTCGAACTAGGTGACTCAAGATCGAAACCTCGACAAGTCCTTACTTTCACTAGTAACATTTTTATTTTGGAAAAAAATTTATATTTGGTTGCAATAAGGTGCATATAAAAAAAAATTCCTATAAAAGAGAGTGTTTGATGTTGGAAACCCTCTAATCAATGATCTCGACTCGAGATATGTGAATAGGAAGAAAACAAAAAAAATATTTAAAGTTTTGAAAACACTGCATCTTATAACAAGTTATCTAGATTATTTGTTTTTAATATTTTCAAGTGTTCATAGATCTGCTTGATCCGTGTCATTTTTTAAATTTTAAATTTTATAGTTGTAAATAAAAATATATTTTTCAAGCTATTATAAAGTTTCCAACATCAAAACTACATCTCCGAAGACATTTAGAGGCGCGCCTTACTTCTATAGTACTACAATCCTCACCTTTTTATTTTAAAGGAAATGTCGTACCTCTTATTTATCTCTGGATGAGGTATTAGTAAGGCTGCAACTTTGCGAAAATTAGTAAAGCTACACCTCAAAAATCCCTCCGAAAAAATGACTATCTAATCTATTAATTAATCATAGGGTGTGGTTTGTGTAATGTTACAACTTGAAACAATTCAAAGTAAGGCGCACCCAGAACTTTGGCATAAGATGTAATTTTGATGTAAAAAATTCTTAAAATTGACCCGAGAATCTATTTTCATCTCTAATTATAAATTATAAACTCCAAAAATAGTTCAAATCAAACAGATCTATATACACATCAAAATCTTGAAAATGGATAGCCTCAACAATGTATTGCAAGATGTATTATTTTAGAACTTGAAATCTTTTTTTTTCATATCCATACATTTTGATGATCAGATGATCTAGTGATGGTTTTTCTACATCAAAATATAGTTTTTTGAGATACAACTTATTTCTACAGTATAAATTTTTTTTGACAAAAGTTACTATTATTTTTATTGAGTACTAAAAAAAAAGAAATTACATCATTAGAGATAACAAAGGAAGGTAAAGAAGCACCACCCTTAGCCAAAGCATCAGCCACAAAGAGTTTGCTTCACTATAGACATGAGAAAAAGAAACTGACATAGAAGAAACCAAATCCATAATTCTACAATATAAATTGTCGACCTTATGTAAACTTTTTCCTTAATTATATATTGAACACCCTTAAGACCACAATTTTCTCATGGTTTAGCGATCATAACATACTATCCCTTCAATATGCAAGCCAATGTACTCAAAACTCTTCCCATTTTACAAGAAGAACAGTTTGAATTTTGACCAAATTTCCAGCTGGTGACATGAACAATGTTTCAATAAGGTTGTTACAGCCTCTTCCCTACACTCTGAGCCCCTGTCAGAGGGAACTTCTATTCTTTTGCTCATGGAGACTGATCCGGGTTTGATCATACAACCTCAAGGCTGCAATACTAATATTTGGATTTGAACAGAGCTATATACTTAAACTCAATAAACACCCCTTGATTTCGTGCATAGTTTTCAGGACTTGTCTCATACTTGGCCTCTCTCTAGGAGCCTCAACTGAGCACCACAAGGCCAGGCCTAACACTTCGAGCACGCACTTCATTCTTCTAGGGTCACCCCATTCTTCTTCTAAGAAGAGCCTTGGGTCCACTGTGTCAATAACATGATCTGGATAAGCCATGGTTACATGCTTTGCAAGGCTAACTCTACCTTCGCTGAACATGTCATGTGTCGGCCGCTTCCCTGTAAATATCTCAAGCACCACTATTCCATAACTGTAAACGTCCCCTTCCTTAGATACTTCAGCCCCCAAACCATACTCTGCAACAGGAGGAAAACATTGAGCCTTTTAGACAGGGAAACCTTGAAGAAATGTAAGAGAAGCTATTAAAAGCACAAGTATCTATGGAAACCTTGACAGACCCAATCTTTAAGAAGAATGAAGAAAAAAAGAAAATGAGGAAAAGATCGTCTGAAAAGGACACAGAAGCATGGGTATTTTTATCATGGAGACCTCGAAGAATTTAAGAGACCCCCTAAACGGGAAAGATGCAGAAGAAACAACACTCTACAAAAATCATAAATCATGGAGCCTTAATTTTCTGAAACTTTAGGTCATCAATGAAGAAGTAGAAAGAGGATCAATAAGCACTTTTTCTTTCACTATGGATACGTTGACAAATTTTCAGCGACTAATCTTCAACAAAGAAGAAAACATACCCTTGAAAAGATGAAAAATTAAAGGCGTAAAACAATAGAAACCCTGAAGAATATTAAGAAAGCCAGTCTTCATAGAAGAAGACGAAACCATGTCAACAAAAGCTTCAAAAGCTCAAAGTCTCAAACTATGGAAAGATGTGAGGATTGGTAATTTCTCATGGTACAGTTCTGAGATGAGTGTCCACCCCTGCTGGTTTAACACTTTCATTCTTATCTAAGCCAATTCCTTAAGGCAAGTATCCTCTTAAATTTAAAAAGAAAAGAAAGAAAGAAAAAGCTCCTTCTTAAAAGAAGAAGAGACATATTCCGCAAAAGATCACAAAACGGAATGACTTACCAACCGAAACATTAACGTATTTTGAGAGGTATAATCTACACACAAGAAAAAAAAAGAAGAAATTTACTTGGTTGAACGTAATCAATTTTACCTGGTGCAATATACCCCACAGTTCCTTTCAGTGCAACTGTGCTTGTCTCGCTCATTGTGAAGTGTGCCTCTATCAATTTCGCTAACCCAAAGTCCCCAACATGGGCCTTCATCTCGTTGTCTAAAAGCACATTACTTGGTTTCAAATCACAGTGCACAACAGAAGGTTCACAGTTATGATGCAAATAGTCCATGGCTATGGCTATGTCTATGGCTATTTCAAGCCTTTGAACCAAGCTCAGGGTCAAGGAACTATGGAGCCACTGATCCAAGCTCCCATTGGGCATGAATTCAAAAACCAGAGCCTTGAACTCTTCTCCCTTAAAATTTACAGAGGAACAAGAAGTTTTGGCCTTGATGAGGTTAGTGTGTCGAACATTTTTCAGTGCTTCACATTCTGCCATAAAAGACTTAGCTGCTCTGTGTTGGATCAAGTCAAAGACCTTAACTGCAACAGGGGTAGTCTCACCATTGATGATTCCTCTATAAACAGAGGCAAAGCTTCCCTTTCCTATGAGATTACCATCACTGAAACTATTAGTTGCGTTGAGCAGATCACCATAGGAGACCAACTTATGTGACCCTTCAAAGGAGAAGGTCTCAGAGGATTGGTTATCCACTTTGCGCGTCTGCCTGCTTCTCCAGAGCATTAAAAGCAATGCGATAACCAAAATTGCAGTCAATGAAACAACTGGAACTACAGCTTTCAGAGCCAAAAACTCATCATTTCTTTTAGAGATGCAGGGGGGCAGATTTAGCTTTGGTATACCCCCACAAAGCTTCGTATTTGGCAGTATAGATGAACCATTGAGGGTGCTGAAAACCCCATCTCTTGGTACTTCTCCTTCAAGTTTGTTGAAAGAGAGATTCAAGTTCTTCAAATGCTGAAGCTTTTGCAAATCGTTTGGGATCACACCAGACAATTGATTAGAAGAAAGATCAAGGAATTCAATGGAGGTTAAGCTCGACAAGGACTCAGGAATTTTCCCCACAAGCCCATTCCTAGCCATGTTGAAACCCATCAAGCTTGAACAGGACCCCAAAGTGGCTGGAATCTCACCTGATAAGTTATTCGCAGAGATATCAATCATTGCGATGATAGTTAGCTTTCCAATTTCAAGAGGAATTGAACCAGTAAGAGAATTTTGAGCCAAACCCAGATACTGATTCATGCCTGTAACCATTAAAATTTCTCTTGGTATACTTCCACTTAGCGTATTTTGAGAGAGACCCAACACCTCCAACTTTTGGCATCGCCCAAGACTCGAAGGTATGGAACCCGAAAGCTTGTTACCCTCCAGCATTAGCTTATTAAGCCCTGTGAGATCACCAATGGAGTCAGGAATTGGCCCTGAAAGTTGGTTTCCCTGCAAAGTTAGCTGCAAAAGTTTCGATAACTTTCCAATACTTGCAGGGATTGTTCCACTAAGGTTGTTATTTTCCATTGAGAATAGTTGAAGATTTTCCAGGTTTCCAACTCCATCAGGTATTGTGCCTGAAATCTGGTTTCCCGGTAAACAGAACTCAGTGAGCATGGTGGAGAGATTGGCTATGGAATCAGGGAGCACGCCGGAGAGTCGATTCGAAGCCATCGATATGACTTCGAGATATGGGCAATTGTTCAATTGTGTTAGGAAGCTTAAACCTGTTTCCCCATCGCTGGAAAGCTTGTTTTCTTTGAGATTTAGGAAGCTAAGTTGGGTTAAATTCGCGAAAATCAGAGGAATTGAGCCATTGAAATTGTTTGAAGAGAGATCAAGGAACTTCAAACCAGAGCAATTACCTAAAGAAGATGGAATTCGGCCGCTTAGATTGTTTTGAGCCATGAAAACTTGCTGTAAATTGGGAAGCTTGAGCCCCATATCATCAGGTAAAGAACCAACAAGCTCATTTCCCGTGACCGCAAGTACTCGAAGAGCAGTCAAATTGTAGAGAGAGAAAGGGATTGGCCCATGGAGATTATTCATTCCAATTTGCAGTCTCCTAAGGTTTTTGAGACGCCCCAACTCCTCTGGTATGCGGCCTCGAAGGTGGTTTCGAGAGAGAGTAAGAAGAGAGAGAGAGGAGAGTTTTCCAAGAGACGGGGGGATGGCTCCAGTGAGATTGTTGCGGTCCAAGCGGAGCACTTGTAGAGAGAGAAAGAGGCCAAGCTCTAGAGGGAGCTGGCCCCAAAGCTGATTTGCACTGAGATCCAGAGTGAGAAGAGATGAGCAGTTGTAGAGGTCGGCCGGAATCCGGCTAGAGAGAGAATTGGAGCTGAGATTGAGGCTTTGCAGGAGAGAGAAAGTCGAGAACTCAACTGGTATGGGTCCATGAAGCTGGTTGCTGGATAAGTCAAGAGAGAGAAGTAGAGAGAGATTGGTTAAGTGAGGAGAGAGAGGACCCTTCAAGCCGAGCCCAGCCAGGCTCAGATTGCGCACCCTCTGGTTCTGCTGGTCACAGGAGAGGTGAGGCCACGAGCACACAGGTGCAGTTCGGTTCCAGGAAGAGAGAGAAGGGTTTGGCTCGAGCGAGTCTTTGAAGGCGAGGAGGGCCTCCTGGTCGGTAGAGAGAGAGAGAAAAGATGCATGGGTGGTGACAATGGAGGTGAACAGGAGGAGAGTGCAGTACAAAGAGTGAGACATGGCCTCTCTGAAAGGAAAGAAGCCTTTGTCTCTACAAAGGAAAGAAAGCCAGTTTCTCTCTCTAGTACAAGAAGCTTAGTCTTCTATATAGAGAGGGGAAGGGAGGCTCACAGTGCGCAGAATGCTCAAGTTTCTGTTGGATTTGGGTTCAAAGATTCATAGAGAAGGTGCCATTTTTACGGTAACAACATAATGCATGCAGATACGACATCTTGGGTTCATACAATTTGAGCAAAATGGGCGATGCACAACCCTAATTTCTGCATGACACTCAGGGACAAGTTTTATATGATAAAAATAAGGCTAGCTTTATTTATTTAGGACGAAATGGTGGGTAGCCAATAAATAATATATTTAAAAAATAAATATAATAGAGATGACGATGTTGAGATGAATGAGCGGTAAGATAAGGAGGGATGAAATTGAAATAAATACAGTCACAAAAATTTTAGATATGACACCAATAGGCAATAAGATAATAGAGAGTAGATTTAGGTAGGCTGACATGTATTGTGGAGACCTAGTACAACACCTGTTAAGATGTGATAGTTAGTTCGATTGGAAGGCTAAAAAAGAGTTAAGGGATAGGCTCCAAAAGATACGGTTAGAAGTACTGAGAAAATATACGAGGACTCATGGCCTCATTGAGGATATGATCCGTAATAGAGAATAATGATAAACCATGATTCATGTAACTGACTTCAATTAGTTGAAAAAAGGCTTTGACGATGATGATTCAATATTGATATCAAATAAAAAAAATTTTAATTTACTATGAAAATTTATGTTATAATGTTTGTCATCTTAAGAATACGATGCAAGTAAACTTTTAAGGTTGGGGTTTCTATAAGGTTGCAACCGTAAACAATCCATTTAAGGTGCACCTCCAAATTTGATCATCATATATAATTTTGGTGTAAAAAATTCTTAAGATTATCTTACAATCGCTTCTCATCTCTAATTATAAAATTTGAAACTCCAAAAATTGATAAAATCAAGTAGATCAATAAACATATGAAAATCTTGAAAATGAACGGTCTAGATAATATGTTGCAAGATGCATTATTTCTGAGGCTCAATTTTTTTTTTTTTTTCATATTTCTACATCTCGATGTCGAGATGATCAATTAAACGATTTTTCAACATTAAAACAACTTTTTTCGATGGATTTTTGGGGTGCATATGTAAGAAAGTTACATAAATATCTGTTATACTTTGTGTTATTATGGATTTACCAAATAGTTTCTGTTATTACATGTATGTCCGTTTTTTAACTTTTATAAGGCAATATTTTTTAAAAAAGAGAATTTTACCTTTTTTTGGGTGTTGGACAACTGAATTGGAGGGTTTTTCGGATGCTCAACATCCGAAAATAGGCCAAAAATTTAACGTTCACATTCCCATTTTCGAGTGTTTAAGATCCAAATTGAACGGTTATGTTGATACATTGTATTCCTTGTGAAAATGATTTCAGATGTATGACATCCGAAAATGTCATATTTCAGATATTCATCATCCGAAAATGACTGTAAAATTCCAAAGACTTTCTGGAAATTCAAAGTCATATTTTCTGATATTCAACATTTTAAAATATGACATTTTCGGATGTCCAACATCCGAAAAACCCTTCAATTCGGATATTCAACATCCGAAAATGGGAATGCGAACATTAAACTTTCGGCCTATTTTCAGATGTTGAATATCCGAAAAACTCTCCAATTCAGTTATTCAACATCCGAAAAAGAATAAACTTGTATTTTTAAAAAAATTACGTTATAAAAGATAAAAAACGGACATCTATTTGATACATCCGTAATAGCGGAAAGTATAACGGACATGTATGTAATATTCTCTAAACTTTTTCCAACTTTTAATTGTTAAATTTTAAAGAAATAATGGCATAGAGGTAGTAAGCGTTATTTTAATTAATACGACACATAACATGCTCGTCGTTCCCCACGTCTAGAACCATCAACATTGTGTCATTATATAAAAACGTTACATTTTAAAAACTGGTTCTCTTAACCCTGACCACAATCTAAGCCATTGTGCTCATTGCTCTTATATGAGGTAACGGGTTGAGGTTTTTACCTTTTGTAATGGGCACTATAACCTTTATATTGCACTTATTTCTTAACCTTCCTTGGAATGAGGTTAATAAGAGCAAAGGATCTAACTTTTAGCACGCTTTGCATTCTTTTAATGGCTTTTCTCCTGTTCAGGGTTTTATAAAATATTTAAGAGAAATTTGTCAAAATTATCTATGATATATTTAACATTTTACCTATATGCTCTGAATTAATTTCAAAATGTCCATCAAATTGCACACGACTTTGACTTGGAATATTGTAAAAAAGTAAATTGTTAAATAGTTGAAATGCGTTGTGCGTTTTGATAAGTTTCCCAAGATTTAATATAATTGTTTTAAGCAGTGTTTTAAAAATTAGAATCTTGTTCCGACTCAGCAAAGGTCTAATTATGATCCCCATCTATCAGAGATGATTCTCAAGTTAGGCCGGGCTATATTAAAAAAGCGAAAGAAAAATAAAGTGAATTGGGCAATTCCCGAGTATTTCAACTAGAACAACTCTTATCCGGTTCAGTCTAGTGTGAAACTCGCAAAAAATAAACAACCAATAAATTTTATTTTTTTTAGTAATGCAATGGGGAAGACATGCTCCTGGCCATTTTTTGAAGTAGATTAAGAGTTAGGTTTTTTTTTTAAAATACTACAGTTGTTCCACATTTACTAACAAAAAACAATTATTATTAGGGAGTATCATTGTCATGAAACGGGTATACAGCAGAGGATGCCAAATAATAAAATATTCGACTTAAAGAGTGTTTTAACCCAGTCAATGAAACTAATCTTCTATAGTGACTTCTCCAATGTTTGACTGATTATTCATCCATTAATCTCAATTTAACCCATTGAATCAAGAATTGATCTAAATCAATAACTAATTTCGATGATAATGATGTAGAAACCCAAGTCAAAAGGACTCGCGCTTGACTTTGATGGAACACCCACTATTGAACATTAGTTGGAGGACCCAACTTTATAATATCAATTCATTTGATCATATAATTAAAACACCATCTTTGGCATCATTTAAATGTTGACAAATATGCAATGCCGTGTTCCACAATGTGTTTTTGTTTGTTTTAGGGCCACCTAACATTAGTTGAGCCCTAAATTTAAGTCCATCCCTATCTTTTGAAAACTTGATACCTGAATATGATTTTTAACCCTAGATCATCAAAATCGTTGAATAGAGGCTAGCAAGATGATCGATGTAAGATTGTATGTTACAAGATCTTCAACCACCCCAAGCTGTCAAATGTACATTTGAGCCGTTAAGAGCGTGTCATTTTTCCGAGAGAAATTTGAGAAGAATTTATTAACTTTGAATGCAGTCAATAGCAATGTTGCTAATTTCAGATAACAACCAACCACCCAGTGTTTGACTACTCGGTCCGAGTGCTGGGTAGTTGGGCTGAGAACTCCGGCTCGAAACTTTGGCGAGTCCGAGTTACCCCAAGTTGGTTTTTCTACTCAAGGATACTAAAAAAATCACAAAAATTATACAATTTTTTTTAAGGGAAATTTTTATGTTTTTGGCAAGGATTGAAAAGTGCTTTTCCCATATATACTTATTTTCACATTTTCCATCTTTTTGAATTATTTTAAAAATACAACTAGTCACAAGTTGAGTTTTTTTTTTTTAAAAAAAAAATTACTTCTTTTTTAACCTCATTTTGAAGTGTTTTGCTTAATCTTACTTTAAATATATATTTTCTATATTTTTGAATTTTTTAAACTTTTCTTTTTGCTGCTGCAGCAGTACTCAGCAATACTCAGGCCGAATTACATAACTCAACCCGAGTTCTCGGCTCGGGCCTACACCGACAGACAATGAGTGTGACTAGAAAAGCTACATGGTTTTGTTCATTTTCAAAATGCTACGTAGAAAGAATAGTCATTTCCAGACATAAGCGGGTTGGTCAAGATACTTTTCATTTTCTCAATGGCATATGCATGCACCTGGTCCACATGAGACCACTCCAAAAAAATTTGGGGATCCTAAGACAACCATCAAATGTTTTTCTCACAAAAGGTACACACAGCCTGCATATAATTGGGATTTCTCAGTTATGTGATTCAATCTCAGTCGCTGGGCTTCTTGGTTTGACTCCACCTCGGAGCATAAAAATTGAGCTTCTATTTATTGGCCCAGCCCAACCCAACCCAACCCAACCCATAAATAGGGCGGAGTTGTGCCTGTAAGCCAAGAGACAGACTCAGTTTCAAACTGGGCTTGGCCATCCCTAACCTAGCCTAGGCCCAACCTGTTTTTGGAACCCACCTAAAACCTACATTGTGAGCCCTTTCCATTATTTAGATCGGATTTGTGTGCCATTGATAAATGTAGTAGTACACACTACAAATACTCATGTTGACCAAAGGAAATATATGGTGGCGTCGGTCATCACCATCCACTCGAAAAAAAAATTTTGGGGATGTAACATCTTCAAGGCACAAATTAACCTAAATAAAAGAAATTTCCTGATTGCACCTTCAATGTAGTTGAAAAAATAATATGTCGTGATTGAATAGAGTAATCAATTTTTTAGATGGTCACATCAAAGTGTTTAAGATGTTAAATTTGAAAATTGTTTTCTTAAAATAATCATCTAACAATTTTTAAGTGGTTCTTAAAATTTTAGATTGAAAAGTCTCCTAGGTCTTTCGACTGAAGGAGTAGAAAGTAAACCATGATCCCGAAAGAAAATAGCATATGTGCTCTTTTATAATTCCTGATTGTCTTTCTTTGTCTGGATATGGAGGGCGATAAAGTCTTGCATGGCAGCGTTAGAGATGGTGTATGAATTCCTTTGTCTTGAAAACGATGCACATTTCCTTTTTTTAATGCTTGGGTACACTTTCTCATGCCTCTTTCAAGATTCTCTACTTTGTTCTCTCTACATAGCCAAAAGATATGAGCTTTTTAAGGAGTATATTGTCTATTTACTCTATCTGATAAGACCTTATTTAGGAGTATTTTTAGGATTCCAAATGTTGGGCATATAATTTCAACGATCCAGCGATAACTTAAAGAGAAGAAAAAGAAATGGATTATATACTATGAGACTATCTTTAGTATAAGGCGGTTACAATTATTCTAAATTGTTAGATGTAAAATTGAATGATTTAAGTTGTGTCAAATTTGTTTTTTCAAACTCGAAGACTAGTCAA